ATCCATTGTCAGCCGTTGACACACACGTTGGGAAACATATCTTCGACAAATGCATCAAAGGATTTTTGTCCGATAAAATCTGCGTTCTCGTCACGCATCAATTGCAGTACTTAAGGAATGTGCAACATGTTGTTCTGTTGAACAAAGGCAAAGTGGAGGCACAAGGTCCATTCCAAACATTGCAGAGATACAACAAAGAGTCGCTGATGCATGCTCAGGAGGAAGGTGATCAAAATGCCATGGACAACTCTCAGAATCGGGTGAGTTTGGTGGATAAAAATTAAGCGAATTGGATAATGAGTCCATTTCTAGGATCGAATAGTCCATTTTTCTTTATATTACGCAACTCTTCAAAAAACAATTATATTCATGGAAAACTGTTCAAATTTCAGATCCGCAAGCATTCATCCACGTCATCATTCTGTAGCGAGGATGTCGAAGACGAACCAGACAAGCGCAAAGAACACCACGTGACTGGCAACATTAAATTCAGTACTTACAAAACATATTTCAAAGCTGCCCACAGTCGCTTCTTTGTTGTTTTCGTTTTCATTCTGTTCATTGTGGCGCAATTTGCGTGGAGTGGTGCCGATTTCTTCTTGGCCGAATGGTAATAGTTAATTTATTTGCTTAAATTTCTTTCCAATTAAAAATTAAAAGGCAATTCATCATTCTTCTCATGAAAACAAAATTGAAATATCTAATGTGAATTTTTCTTCATTTTCTCAGGGTTGATTGGGAGGAAAAAGTAACGAAACCTCCAGTTGAAACGGTTAAAAATGCAACTGAAGTGCCTTCTATAGCAAGCCGTTCAAGTGAAACTTCTGAACCGGTGAAAGAGAAACGCGAACAGCTCCTCATTATTTACACTAGTATCATGGTGCTCGGTACAATTGCTTTTCTGTGCCGTTCATTCTCATTCTTTCGAATGTGCTTACGCATATCAATTAATTTACATGATATGATTTTTCGAGGCATCACTCGGGCGAAGATGATTTTCTTCAACAACAATCCCAGTGGCCGTATCTTGAATCGATTCGCAAGAGATATCAACAACGTTGACTCATTGCTGCCAAATATTATGGTTGATGTTTTGGATGTGAGTTTCTTTCAAGCTGTCATCCATGTTCTCAGCGAAAATTTTCCTTTAAAATTTCCTTTGAATGGATTGAAAGCAATTTTAATGTTTTTTTTTTCTTATTTTTCAGTGTTTCTTGCAATATTTGGCAATTATTGTCATTAATGCGATTGTAAATCCCTGGTTATTGGTTCCAGCTGTTATAATGACACTACTTTTCTATTTGATGCGCCTTGTTTATGTAAATACCGGACGTAGTTTCAAACGAATCGAAGCCTTAAGTAAGTTTGACCAATTTTTCAGCAATTGGACTTTGAATTTATCCATCACCGAGAATTTTAACATACTTTCTGTATTTCCAGGCCGTAGTCCAATTTTCTCACACATGAATGCAACGCTTCAGGGCTTGTCCACAGTGCGTGCCTTCAATGCGGACACAATTTTAGAAATGGAATTTCACGAGTTCCAAGATATGAACACATCATGTTGGTATCTTTTCATTTGTGCATCGCGATGGTTTGCACTTTGGCTGGATATTGTGTGCCTTTTGTTCATCGCCTTCGTCACTTACAGCTTCTTAATTTTTGGAAATAGTAAGGGCGCTCATTTTTCTTGTTCAAATTTAAACTCGCCATTTCTATAAATATCTTTCCAATGGTTACGAATCAAAAATGGTAATTTTTCAATTAAATTCCAGCCGAAGACAGTGGCAAAGTTGGTTTGGCGATATTGAGCAGTATTAATTTGATCGGAACGTGTCAATGGGGAATGCGTCAAAGTGCTGAGCTGGAAAATCAAATGACTTCCGTCGAACGTGTTATTGAATATGCTGAATTGCCTTCGGAACCGCCACTCGAATCAGACGAGAAGAATGCACCACCAAAAGATTGGCCTTACTATGGAAACATCGAATTCAAGTCGCTAAGCTTACGATACGCTGAGAATGGTGCTCGAATTCTACGGAATTTAACTTTCCGAATCAATGCCAAGGTAAAATTCAATACTTTTCCGTTGAAAAAAAATTAAATTGATAAAACATTTAAGCAAAAATTAAAACTTTATTTCATTTCTCTGTTTTACAGGAAAAAATCGGTGTAGTTGGTCGAACGGGTGCTGGCAAAAGTTCGATAATCCAGTCTCTGTTCCGTTTGGCTCAGAACGAAGGTCAGATTTTGATCGATGGCATTGATGTCGGTGTGATTGGTCTGCACGATTTGCGAAAAAAGATTTCGATCATTCCGCAAGAGGCGGTTCTATTCTCTGGAAGTCTCCGGTTCAATTTGGATCCATTCGCTGAGCGAAGCGACGACGAACTTTGGAACTCACTTGAGCAAGTCGAGTTGAAGTCAGTAATATCGTCATTGCCTGGTGGCATCGATTGCAAAGTACTGGACGGTGGATCGAATTTCAGCGCTGGTCAACGTCAGCTGCTGTGTTTGGCGCGTGCCATTCTACGAAACAGCAGAATATTGATTCTCGACGAGGCGACGGCCAACGTTGATTCCGAAACGGATCGATTAATCCAGGACACGATACGAAATAAGTTCGGTGACTGTACCGTTATAACGATAGCACATCGACTGCACACAGTCATGGACAGCGATAAGGTGCTAGTAGTGGACGCGGGCGAAATTATGGAGTTTGATCATCCGTTCGAGCTAATTCAAAAGCCAGATGGCTTCTTCAAACGACTACTCGATCAAACTGGCAGTTCAACGGCGACAGCGCTCACACTTGTCGCCAAGGAGGTAAGAGCTTTGGATTTTCGTTGTGGATTTTTGCAACGATCTTATGAAATTTTGTTTTATATGAATGTCTTTTTGGTCAATTTCCAGAGCTTCGATCGATGTAATGCAAAACAGTGAATAGTTTAAGCGGATGGCAGCCATGACTTCAAACATACTTTTTACTCGTATATCTGAAATCTGAACCAAAGTTCATTCTACTTAATTAGGTACTTATCATTTTGTGGCTTTTTTGCACAATTTTTATTTCTCGATTTCAATATATACAAACTATATTTTTAATTGTACAAATAAATTTTTTAAATAAAATGATGAAAGATGCAATCAAATCCAATTGGAGTCCGTTTTATTTATTTTATTCAATTGAAGAAGTTACAACTATTTCGAAGTCAAAAAGGATTGAAAAATACTCAGAAAATGATTGGGTTTTGAATAAAAAATGGTTTTAGTTTGAAAAATGTTCTATGATTTTTTCTCATCAAACTAAAATAATAAAATGGTCTTTCTTTAAGAAAATTGTTAGATTCCCTAAAATACCTTCGAAAATTTTCAAATCAGATTTTTTTCATAATTGTGAAACGATTGCGTTTTCCAGTATTTTCACTTACGTGTCTGCTAAGAATTCTAGTTCTTCGCTCAATATGAGAATACATGTATTTTATTATGGCATATAAAGGTAATCTACAATCAATATCAGTACATTAGGATGCATTAACGCCGATTGATCGAATCAGAGATTTGATGAAAATTATTTTTTTAGCCTTTTCAAATGGAATTTTCGTAAAATTCGCTTTTCTGGAGAGATGGGATGGGTTTTCTTCCTTTGGAAAAGGCACATTTGTACATCAAATACAAATACACAGTTTGTACAGCTGAAGCAGAAAGAAGCGACCAAATGATAGGTAATTTCAACTTAAGAAAATTGAGTAGATGAACTTGGTTCAGATTTCAGATACGAGTGATACTATGACACATTTTTCTTCTTCTTTCGTATCGAAATTGATTTTATTAACGAATCAAATTGATTTTTCGATATAAAAAATAAAAAAATCGAAAAAAAAAACATTCGAATACAATACGAAACGCTCACTTTTCGGAATAGTGAATGATGCGACCCTGCGCCATATGCCGACTCAATAACGTCTTTCCAGTTGTCATCATAAAAGTCACGTTGTTTACAACTCACTCATACACATACAACAAACATATGTTCATTTTTAGTTGTCAAATCTACGGAAGATTCCACTTCGTGTATTTCACCAGTTGCCTTGTATTTTCAACAAGCCACTATTTTTCTGTATAAAGTTTTCAATAAAAAAAAGTAGGAAAATTACTGAACAAACATATTTTTAGTTGGTTTCAATTTATTGCATTAAAAAAATGAGTGAAGTGTTGAAAATACAAAAATTAGCCGATTTCAAAGCATTGGAGAAACAATTGAACGAACGATGGCTGGAGCTAGAAAGAGATTCAAATGCCTTTCGATACAAATTAAATGTGCAGAAGAGAAAAATTCTTGACGGAAAGCTTCATTTTATACTGACGGTGAATAATTACGTGGTGTAGAAAATGTTCAAAGCTTCATTAGATTTGAGAGCAGAAATTGTGTCATTTTTGATTTATTTCAGCTAAACACCGACCGAACGTTATTACGACGCAAACCTCAAGTCATAACATCGGTTGTTCAGCCCTTCAATCAGAACGCGTTCAATTTCAACAAAGTGGACGAATGTGAGGTGCTGCTCCGATGTCAAAACCAATTGAATGGCGATGCAAATTCAACACATGGAATTACAACGTTTCTGGTGAACAATAGCCCAATAACAAAGTGTCATTCGCTCATTTGCCCCAGATTGACGGAGAATTTGTCACAAAGCATAACCAAAGAGTGCATCGAATTTGCCATTGATTTGATTACCGGGCTGGAAGATCATGGTTATCGAATTGGATACAACAGCTTGGGTGCATTTTCTTCGGTCAATCATTTGCATTTGCATTTGATTCATGTGACTGAGAAAATGTACGTGGAAGATGCGGTGAGTTAGTTTCTTTTAATTTCAATTCTTTCATTTTTTACTCTTTTCTATTTATGATCTATGTATTGTTAGTGTTATTATTAATTCTCCTCATTTTCTTACCTTCAACAGGAAATCACTCCAATTTCCGACGACATTTACAGAATGGACTTTCCGGCATTCGCGTTATGTTTACCCATTTTCCATTGGAGAGATAAAGGAGTTATCGCTAGTAAAATATCGAAAATAGTCGAATATTTCCGCCAAGAATCGATCCCTCACAACATTTTCTGGACATACGGCACACATTCCAATCAAAATTTAGTGAAAGTTTTCATTTTCCCACGGAATCGACTGACCGATAAGATTTCCAGCTCATTCAATGCAGCATTCTGTGAACTCACCGGCTTTGTTCCGATTGGAGGTAAAAAGTGAACGCGATTTGAAACATAATCGAAGTAAAAGATGATCATTTTTGTCCTTCCTAACAACATTTCCTATTCCGAATGAATCATTTCAAATGATTAGCTTTCATTCCATTTTTAATGATTTTAACCAAATAATTGCTTGACCCGTTTTAATAAAAAAAAAATTGACATTTCAGACGCCGAAGCCTACGAACAACTTTCAGAAGATTTTATCATCGATTGTATTTCAGAAGCAATGGGAGAAATCGACAAACCAAAACTTGTATCAGAAATTACTAAGCTGATTTCAAATGAGAGCCTGAATTCAAGTGGGGAATAATAATCATCAATTTATTAAAAAATCATGTCTCATTGAGGAATTAGATTTGTATTCCTGCCAAAATGTTGGCTCGCCACGATTTATTTCATCAAGTTTATCAAGCTCTTTCCAATCTTATGCATAGTGTCGAACTTTTGTTCAAGCTCTACCATCTAAAGGTATATACAATAAAATAATTTACGGGCACGGCGTTAGATGGCATTTTTTCTGGTCAAAAAAGTTGAAATATCCCTTTGAGTATTGATTAATTGATTGTTCTGAATTACTTTCAATCGATTCGATGGAATACAAAGAATTTGATTTGAAAATCAAAGTTTGACAGAAATTTTAATAAAAGTTATAATAAAACTAATAAGGGAAGGGTCACACTCACATTTGATACGCTCATCACCAAATTTTGAAAGAAGAAAATATATTTCAGCACTTAAAAATGTTTTAAAAATTTATTGAAAATAGAAATAAGTTAAAAAGCACGTTCCTTGTTCAAGACAAAAAAAAAATTAGTGTGGGGTTCCAAATATGTTAATCAATTCAGTTGCATTGAATCACGAATTGTATGAAATACAATCTATTTGTTCATGAAAAAGGCAACGCTGTGGCAAAATACCGCAAACAACATACACAGAAGAAAAATGAAAATATCACTTCACAATTATTCGTACGGAAAAATTGTTGCTGTGAAAATATTAATTTTTTGTTTTTTTTTTAATTTATTTATTGACATAAAACAAAATTGGATTAGTAAAAAAATTTACGCATAAAATAAAAACAAATTCCACAAAAAATGATTGAACTCCACCAAAACGGCAAAATTCGAATAAAAGTCGAAATGATGAGACCCTGCCGATGACATCAGTGCGATGACAAAATGCGATCTGACAGCGTAAAAGTCAGTTGAGCCCAATTTCTTTGTTTATATTTTTTTTGCACACAAAGCCGGTTCAATTGGGCATCGTGCGAGTCGCAAAAGAGTCAAATTGGAATTTTTGCTTAAAAATCCTCAAAAAAAATCGTCCGAAAAAGTATTTTAGGTAAATATTTAGTATTAAATCAAGTATTTTACATTAAAATTGCGTTTTATTTGTATTTATTTAGCGTATCAATTAAATTGGATGAATTGTCGGCAGAGATCAAAGGCTTACAATTATTTGCATAAAACAAATAAAATCCAACAGGTGCTAGTTCCGGTTTGATTTGATTTACCGATAGGAAATCGTGATAATACCTATTATTGCCAGCCAAAACACCGACTGAGTTAGAAGTATTCTCTGGCAAAATTTTGAGTCTGTTGATGAAATTTTGTGATTGACCAAACAGAGCATCAGCGAAAAAAACGGTCAAAATTACAAACACTCATAAAAAAAAGTACGTAGAAGCTGCGTGATAAACATTGTGAAAAAAGTGCTTTAAATTCTGCGTCGCAAAAATGGATTTGCCGCATTCACCATCGACGAAGCGTAAGCGAGTGGAGACGGGTGGTTCGATTGATGAGCCAGCAACAAGTAGCAAAAGTGGATTTGCGTCAAAGATATTCCGGCGCCAGTATTTGGATGAAAAAACGGCTGATGTGTATTTCATTTGTGGCCGAAAACATGAACGAGTTCCAGCCCACAAGAGTGTGTTATCAAAGGCAAGCGATGCATTTGATCGAATGTTCTATGGTCCAATGGCTGAAGAAAATGATGTAAAATTGCCGGAGACCAATCCCGAAGCATTTAAAGACTTTTTACAATTTTGTTACCTCGATGAAGTGAATCTAAACCTGGAGCATATCGTTGAAATAATGGATTTGACCAATAAATACTGTATGCCCGAGTGTTTGGCAGTGTGTGGCACTTTTTGGGCGAAACATTTGACGTTTGACGATATTTGTTGGGCATATCACTGGGCAATTTTCTACCAAGAAAAAGAATTTATTGAGTTTTGCGAGCGAAAAATTAGCGCTTACCCACAATTGGTCTTTGAATCGACCAGTTTTCTGCGATGTGAGCACATTGTTCTGGACCATATTCTGGAGCTGGATTCTTTGTTGTGCGATGAAACAACCGTGCTTGAGGCTTGCTTGGAATGGGCTCGAAATGCTTGCAATCGCGATGGTCTCAATCCAACTGATATGAAGAATTTGCGACTTCATCTTCAAGATGCGCTCTATAAAATTCGCTACAGTTCAATGACCGCAACGGAATTCCGCGAGCACATGGATTCATATGACGGTTTTTTCACCGATGTCAAAGAGTACGAAGATGTGATTCGAATGCTTTCTGGATCGAAACATTTGAAAACCGGTCGATTCAACCCGAATCCAAGGTCGACGAACATTTTCCAATGGGATGAAAGCCGCGTTTTCAAGTGCAAATTCACGAATAACAACAATTCATCGGTGTTTAGCTCCAATAAACCAATGTTATTGGGTGGATTTTACTGTGCACCAATTTCGGAAGCCACCAATTGGCGCAACACACAAGTCGATATGACTATTTCCGAAGAACCAAAAGGGCTGGGATCCGAGAAAACAACACCAAAAATCATTTTGACCAGGCAAATCAAGCTGGACGCAAAGGAAGAAACTTATGTGGAATTTACCGAAAGCGGTGAACCCATTATTATCAAACCGGAATTCAAGTATCGCATCAATTTCAAGCCAATTAGCTCGGGTGATTTACCATATTACGCCATTTATCGAAGCCGAGAGATAAAACTGGACCATGAAACTGTCATTCAATTCCCACAAGAAGGCAACGAAGAAGATCGAGCCATTATCAAACGATTCAAATTCAATCAGTTGTAAGTTTGAGGAGAGATTTTCGGCTTTTCAACTGAATTGGATTTTTGACTTTGTCGATTTTTTAATTTTTTCGAATCTTTTTATTCAAATTTGAAATTTTTTTACTATAATTTTTGATCATCACATTTCAAGTCACTCTAATGATTGCCTCATTTTGCAAGTGTTGTTTTTCTTCTTTCACTTGATGTAAGCCGAAGAGAACAAACGACGCAAAAGTGTAAAGTTTCAAAGGTCGCTTTGATTGTGTCATAACAAAATCCATCTCGATTTGTTTATCTAGGCGCCCATGGGCATATCAAACACAAACTAAATCAAAATCTCAACCTATAGATCTTGTACTTAATTTGAACTCTGAGTCTTTTTCGCATTTTTTTTTATATTTTTTATACCATTCTACTCTTTGAACGAACATTTCAATAAAGTTTTGCATGAAGAAAAAAAAATTGTTGAATCTTTTTTTGCGATAAGTAATTAATCAACTTGCAGTGAGTCTTTGGATTGCAGCATTGCTGAAGCATTTATCACAGCACTTTGTAAGTGTTTTCATGCACACACATTTGGGCACAGGGCCAAAATTGAATCCAAAATGATATCATCCGAACAAAATGAATGCAACAAGAGAAGAAAAGGGAAAGACATGCAGATTATTTTGACTGGGACAAGAGCTGTTGTCGCACATTTGGCGTACACGAGATTCTAAACGGAAGAATTCAGCGATGAAATCAAAATCACAAGCATATGTGCGTAACTATGACAAAATCAAGATTCTTGGTCCAAGAATTTGAACGCTTGACAACCGTCGCTTGTTCATTGTTGAGTTGCTTTCTTCGTTTTGCTTTTTTTTCTCTTTTGTTCATTTTTTTTGTTGTTGTTCATTGTTGAGTTGTTTTCACGAAAAACAAGGCGTCACTTATTGATGCATGTTGTAATGTATACGCTACACATTCGAAAATATCTCATTAATTTTATTTATTGTCTGTAGCTTCTTCAGACACACTTAAAAATTGCTCAGATTCTACTCAATTTGACATGAGGCGACATAATTCATATGCATGTGTATCGTAAAAGTGTTCGTTCTTCTCTTACAAACAACCGGCTGACGTATCGTTCTATTCTTATTCCATTCATTTTCGTTGATTCGTTGTCAGAGAATTTTGAACAGACTGAAATCATAAGTCATGCATTTTTATCGCTTGTTTGTCACTTGTTGTTGTCGTCGCTTACTGCGGCACCGCAGACGCGGTCTGGGTGCGTATATACACGTGACGCAAATAGACGGACAACTATGGCAGGCTTAGTATGCAAAATCGCCGTCGAATTGTTTTGAAAATAAAAACAAACTCACACGTGCTGAATTTTAGCATATACACCAGCCAATCAGTTTTGGTGGCAATTTTTTTTAGTGAACGAGATGGTGTTTCACAGTTCAATCACTTTCGTGGTTTTTTGTCGAAAAAAAAACTTGGTCTGTTGCTTTCAAAACATTCTGTCACTTTATTTACATGATAAAACTTAATCAAGTGTGAACTTATCCTTTATTCATTCCCAAACATTCTTTCACATTATCTGGTATGAGTTTCATTGTGGTATTAAACAGAGGTACGGTCATGCCTTTGTATTTACTATAGTCGGTTGGTGTGCCGTAATCTTTATCTTCCAACTGTGCCTTTTGTAGCATCGCAAAGCGACAAAACATATACATGTTGAAAGATTTAGGATGCAATGATGATGCAATTGAAGCATTCGATCTCTTGGGCAAAATCCAATGTAAATTATGCAAAGAAGCAATGAAAATAGTTGAAAAAGAGGTGAACAGCCACTCGTCAAAGGTATATGCTAACTTTTTTTATCGATTGCAATTTGCAATTTGCAATAAACAATTCTTCGATTTCTTCAAATTTCATGTTCTAGGAAGAGATAAAGAAAACCCTCGATAAAGCATGCACCATTATTCCTGACAGAAGTCTACGGCGAAAGTGCCGTGAATCAATTGAGAAGAGAGGCGATGACAGCCGATAACAAATCCTTGAAAATTTGACAGCCGATAACATCTGCAAGATTCTCCTATTCTGTTAAGTTCAGCAAATAAAAATAAATATTCAAAATTTCTTTGAAAAGTTTGATTTTCAGTCAAGTTTGTTACTTAAACCAATAACTTACTTATACTTGTTGAACCAAAAAAATATACATTAAATAATAACATCAGTTTATGAGTGAAACTTTGATTTTTCTTTCATAAGACATTAACATAAAAAAAATTAAGACTAAGATTTTCTTACTGCGGTGATAAATACTAACACACTCATTCGCACATATGACAGCTAGAACGTTAACGACCTAGTGCAAAAGGGGTGAAACACTTGACACTGCTAATATTTTGAAGAAATTTTAGTCATGCTTTACTTTACTATTAGATCCACAAGCGGTTCATGTTTTAGTTTTTTTTTTTTTTTTCGAGATATTACCTTGAAATCTCAAGCATAGAATTCGTTATTTTTGATGAAAAGAATAGGAAATCGTAGACTTTCATACACAAAATTTACTATTTCCGCTTTTGTCACTGATTCATTAATCGTTATTTTTCCCCAATGAATACGCAGAAAATATTAGAGTCTGTTTTTATAAAATTTTGGTTTCTTCGAGTGTTTCTGAACTTTTGAGCTGTACGATAAATGAATGTATGTTTTTAAACCTTATCTTTGGACGGCGATAAACGGATTAAGTCCGAAATAAGACTTGAAAATATATGTATCTCATGTCTCAATAATGAATTTTCTATGGCTTTTGGTGTGGCAGTAAAGCCGCAACATTTCAAGCATACATACATTCTGTATTCGCTTTACCTAGACAAAGTTGTGCGTATCTTGTATTATTGAAACTAATCACTTTGCTAATGACCGCTGTCGTCCGGTAGGATTAAAGATTATCTTTGGTCAAATTCTAGAAAAAAAATCAACATTCAAAAGTTAAGGAATGGTATCAGTGCCTAATACCTCTTTCTGTGTTTCCAAGACGTTTGCAATGAAATAAGTACATTGCTATATAAATCGATCCATCAGAGTGAAGGTTAGTCAGTGTTGAATTGCTTTTCAAACGTGAAACATCTCAATCATATCTACTTTGATTATTCGAAAATGGTGCGAATCAAGGACGAACCAGAAGAATTTGAAATGACATACAGATGTGACGAAACTGAAATCGAAGCCGATGTCAACTACTACGATGTTGAAACTATACGTGATCAGGTTCGATTAATTTGGGGTATAACTGAAGACGACATCAAGCCGAAAATTGAACACATCGACATCAAGCCGAACACAGCAGGAAATAGAGTTGAATGGTGAATTTTTGCATCAGGAAAATGATTTGACACAAAGCGAAAACGTGGAAAACTCAGAACCAAGTACAAGAAGCAAAAGAAGCGGAGAACGGCAAAAGCGCCATGCCGTAAGAAGTAAGCCAAAAAATCAAAAGAAGGAAACTAGCACCAAGGTTTTCAAAAAAGCAGCCACAAAGAGGAGCGAGAAGCACAAGTGTGATTCATGCAGCTTCACTACATTACAAAAATCAAAACTTATAATTTACATTCGAAGTCACACTGGCGAAAAGCCATTTGAATGCAAAATGTGTATGAAATCCTTTGCAAGCAAAGGTCATTTGAAAATCCATGAAAAAAACTCATGGTACGTTATTTGCGTTCCGTTGTTCAAAGTGTGGTCAAGGATTTGATGAAGAACTTGCTAAGAACGGCCACGAACCCAAGTGTATAAAATTGCAGAGACCATTCGAATGTAACCTTTGTGGTAGAAGATTCAAAAGGAAATACGACATGGAAAAACATCAAAATGGCAGAATGTACATTCCAAAAGACGAAAAACCAAAGCCATATGATAAACCGAAACCATACAAATGCCAAGTCTGTTGTAAAGGTACATTTAAAATAATATTAATTTTTTTTTTCATTTTTGAGTCTCTATTAAAAGAAGAATTCAACCAAAATAATTTTTCTTTTGTTCCAATCTTTATAGGATTCGCAAAAAACTATAGTTAACAGCGTCATCAAACACCCCATGGACGAAGAGAATTCGACCCAAATTGGTGTGCTGATTTGAAATATTTCCTAGGGGCTTTTAAGTCAAAATATACATTCGTATTTGTGTGAATATTTCGTGAATATTGCATATAATCCGTGTATATTATTCACCATATTCACAGAATATACACAGCATGTAAAAAATATGTGTTTACGGCAATGTCGAATCTTTGTTACCGATCGTGAATATGAGGTGTATATTTCATGAATATCGTGTATATTCCGTGAATATGGTGCATATTTTGCCAGCATTGTGAATATTTCGTATGACTGTCATTTATGGTGTATATTTCTTGGATGGAATATACATGGAAGCCCCTAGAATATTTCTAACATGAAACATGAAAATTCACGGAAGATTGGGTTGTGCGCAATATTTTTTATGCTAAAATAAGCCCACACCACTGCAGACGTCTATGGAAATGTACTGTAAAGGCAAAGCCTTATGAATCACGAAACAACCATGACCATGAAACGAAGCTGGATTCAATTCGATTTCCCCCATACACGTACATCCCAAACAACCCTTTCAAACGGAAGGATTTGTCAAAATATCTTCTGAATGTGTGGCGAAGTGGAAGTCAAAGAGTGCCTGAGACTTTTGCGAAATATTGACAATGTCGATTCAAACATCGTTCCTCTCGCTCTTGCTCAAATATTTCGTTTAGTGTGAATAAGTACGTTATATATCACCCACATAATCTCTATACTTTACCCCGCAAATTCTATTGGTGATAAAGCGTCGCTGCACTTTTGACAGCTTGTCAGCGATAGAGGAAATGTTAGATTTGGTACGCAAAATCTTCAAGTTGATCATAACAAAAAATAAACCGTGAATTTTGCAAGCTAGCCCAGCATTTGTTCGGTACACACTACTTTATTTCTTGCTAATTGATTACAAACATTTATTTGAACAAAACTAAATTGTCACATCGATGTTTCGAAATAGATTTTTCTGTTTTTTTTTTTTTTAAATCGGGATAAAATGTTTGAAAAAATTCAAAATGAAAAAAAATTCAAATTTCTTTGACTAAAATTGATTTGAAATTAAAAGAAAAATCTTCATTTTGATTGGTTTATTTCGTTTTTGTTCGTATTTTAAATTCAATTTTGCATAGACCTTGTATTTTTACCAATGTTTTCTTTGATTTTTGCTGTGATCGTAACAAAATCGTTTTTTTTTTCATCTTCATCAATTATAGGATATCAAAGAATGGCTGATCAAAGTGAACTGTTGAATCGCAAGCGACGACATGACGAACATGATGTACAAGAGGACATAAGCCAAGAAGCCAAACGAACGAAAGAGGATGAGCCTGACGTGGAATTGTCAACAACCAAAATCATCGATGTAAACTACGATTGCCTTGAGCATATTTTCAAGGATTTCGAATTCATTGACCTTTTCAATGTGGTCGATTCGAATAAACACTTAGTCGCAGTTGCTGGTCAAATTTTCAAGAGAAAATATCACGAATTTACTGTGGATATCGGTATCTCCAATTGTGTTGCCAACGACGGGTACTTTACACTATTAACGGATTGTATTTGGGTCACTGATAGAACGGCTGCTTTGAAATTCCTTCGCCATTTTGGTCATGCCATTACCAAATTGAAAATCGCTTGTTTTAGCACCGATGACACTTTTTTCACACAACTCCATCGTTATGTGCACGAATACTGCAGCGAAACATTGATTGAAATCAGTTTTTACTATATGATTGAATTTGTGCTTTCATCTATTGAAAAACCGTTTCCGAATGTTGAAAGTGTTAGCTTCAAATGTGTTAAATTGAATGATAATCTGTGGCAACTCAACAGATTGTTTCCAAACATGCGACGTTTGACGTTACATGCAATGGACGAAGTAACTAATCCCATGTGTATTGAAGAACATTTTCCGAATTTGCAAAGCTTGACGATTGAGAATCAATTCGAGAGACTCGAAGATCGTGCTCTCAATGGATTCAAAGAGGCAAATATCATGGAAGCGTTGCGATTGAATCCAAATGTGCAACATTTAAATCTGAAATATTTCGATACAAAGTTTCTTCAGAAAATCGGCGAATATATACAACATGTGGAAAATCTTGAACTTTCATTCGGTCGGTGGAGTTCCAATCACACGATTCCAACAATTCGTCTCGAGAATGTGAAAAGACTTGAAATTCGTATGGAATGGGATCCATATCCTGGTTTTCCAGAGCTTCCATTCACTTTTGATCATGTTGAAGAATTTATATATGTGACAAAGCCTTTTCTATCATGTAATATCCAATCAAGCGACGATTTCTTCATCCAAAATCCATTGCGGAAAGTGCATTTGCAGACCATCAATGCAAAACTAATGATTGAAGGAGATAAGCTCGATCTCGCAAGAGCTTTGCCATTGGTGACGGAATTGCAGCTGGAAACTTGTGAATTGAATGCCATCGAAGCGGCTGATTTTATTAACGAATGCCCAATGCTGAATGAATTCCAATTTGTTTACACCTCGCCAGAGGAAAGAGAAAAGTTACGAGAACTCTTTCGGGGAACCAAATGGGAATCAATATAATTATTTTTTTAAATATTTCTTTGATTCATTCCAATATTGAAAATTCATTTCAAATATAAGTTTGAATGAATGACATAATCGCATAATGATTTTTTTGTAATAAAGAAATAAATAAAACACTTTAAAATTACTAAAAATATTTTGTTTTACTAAAATTTGCATTAAAGAGTAGAATGTTCTAGCTGTGAATGAAGTGTCTCATTCATACTGGCGCACGGTCAAAACCGTAAGGAACCGCACTGAAAAAAAGTGAAGTCGAGAATGACAAATTAAGGTAGGTCAGGATGTTTTCATTATTTCTCGTTTCCTCGAATATCAACGCACACGTATGTTCGTCAAATACATACACAACGGCTTGGCCAATAGAGCCAATAAAACTAACTCTTTATCAGCAATAAACAATTACATCGACACATCGGCATATATGCATGTGTAATGTGTATACTGTATACCTAGGTGTATACGTTCGTATGCAAGTACAGAGTACACAGACATCATGTACAAATGTACATCGATGCATATTGTACATTCACATTATTCAACGATTTGCGTATCACTTTGAGTGACATTAAGTGTCACAACAAACGTCAATTGCATAGGACTAGTAAGAAAATCAGTCATTCGGAAGAAGTGTTTCAAGTAAGATTCAATCTCAGCCTTCATTGAAGTTAAACCAAGATCGATTGCTGCCACTTGCAGTCTGTGAACTGGGAATATTCTCTTTAGTTTAAACAACAGTTTTATACCATATTTCGAACAGTTTTGTGAACAAAAAGGTGATGGTGTATTTTCGTTTTTATTGCGAGAATCTAATAAAAAAGACCCGCTTACGTAAAACAAGTCTTGAACACAAGCTTGGTTGAACAGCTTGATTTCTTTGTACAATGATAATTTCATTGTGACATTTTTTGTTTTTGATAATGCTTTATAAATTATAATACCCTGATGACAGTCCGTCAGTGGCAGTAGAAATGTCAGATCTAGTACGGAGAATATTGAAATTCATCAAAACATGAAACAAACGTTGTGAATTTCAAAAGTTGTGCAATAGTTGCAATTTCGTTCAAAACCGAGCTAAAATGCATAACAAAATTAAGAGTGAAGTAAAAAAGAACATTTTGATTTTTTTTTTTAAATAAGTTTTTAATCGATTAAAGTGATTTGGTGCAAAATTCACATCATTTGATGTATTCTGATGCATTTCAACATTTCGCGGCTACTAGATCTACCGTAATAGTATAATGAGCATGCGCCCACTAGATCAAATATTTCTTCTGTTAGTATAAAATCGTGTTTCTTTCCTTATAAATCGTAGGTACGAGACCAAAGAATGTCCGATCAAAATGAGAAATTGAGTCGAAAGCGACGAAAGAATGAACGCGATGAATTGAGGAAAATGAAACGAGAAGCCAAACGACTGAAAGCGAAAGCTACTGAAGAAGTGACTGAAGCATCGATACCAACAATCAAAATCACCGATTTGAATAACGACTGTCTCGAGGTCATTTTTAACCATCTGGAATTCAACGATCTATTCAATGTTGCCGATTCAAATAAACTGTTGACGTCAGCTGCCGGTCGAGTTTACTGGAAAAAGTACCGAAAAATGCCGGTGGATCTTTACACTTGCTATACAACTGACGAATGCTTCAAAATCAGAGCGCATTGTATTTGGGTGTACGATCGAACAGCTGCTTTAAAATTCCTTCGCTATTTTGGTCACATCATCACTAAGTTGAGAATCACTTGTTTCAGCATCAAAAACCCTTATCTGGCTGAATTACATCGCTATGTGTTTGAATACTGCAGCGAAACATTGATTCAAATCAGTTTTTGCTATATGATTGCGTGCGCATTTTTTCCCATTGAAAAGTCGTTTCCAAACGTTGAAAGTGTTAGCTTTAGATACTGCATGGTGGACGAAAATCTGTCTCAACTCAACAAGTGGTTTCCGAATGTGCGTCGTTTAACATTCGGATATTTCGTTAAATTAGATAATCGCAAGTGCATCGAAAAATATTTTCCGCATTTGCAAAGTTTGTCGATTGAGAGATTCTGTCCGCAAAATCAGTTTGGATTCGAAGAGCAAAATGCTATGGAAGCGTTGCGTTTGAATCCAAATTTACAACATTTAAAATTGAAAAATTTTGATACAAAATTCCTTCGGAAGGCCAGTGAATATATGAAACGCGTAGAAAGTCTCGAAATCACAATTCGTCGTAGCGATATTAATCACAGGGGTTCATCAATTCGTCTTGAGAAGGTGAAGAGGCTTGTGATACACGGGGATCGGGACCAACATATTGACTTTTCGACGCTGCCATTCACATTTGGTTGTGTGCATGAGGTTATCTACATAAAACAAAAATAAAAGATAAAATGGTGGATTAGGATCCATTCTTCAGTGAAAATCCGTTGCGGAAAGTGCATTTTCAGTCTATCAATGGGCATCTAATGATTCAAGGAAATAAACTCGATCGATAAAAGCGGCCAATTTGATAAACATATTCCCAACGCTGACTAAATGCCACTTTCTATTTGACACTCGCTGGGGATACGATAAGTTACGGAAACGATTACGGCACCAAGTGGCGAGGAAATTAAATGAAAAGAATTGTTATAATTTCAGAAAAATAATCTTTTTTTGTACTTTTTTGATTCTTCAATGAACTGAAATTCTGATATTCTTTGAACTCATTTATTTTAAATAATTATACTTAAACAGAAAACATATTCTATTTTATACAAGATAATGAACAAATAAATTTTTTATGCATTCAAGTCTTCAATTTTTTGAAGAGTGTCCAATTTTTTTCATGAACATTTTTCTTATTGGGTCTGGGAATTAGTTTTGTCGATTTTTTTAAATTTTCAAACATTTATTTGAATACCAAAATGAAATTACATTTCAATCAAAATATTGTCCATCGGAAGCGATGACCTTCTGCCACAATGTGGGCAATTGACGGATGCCTGCCTTAAAAAATTCCTCATCTTTTGAGGCTATAAATGCATCGAGCCAATTTTGGATTTCTTCAACTGAAGAGAACCGCTCTCCGTCCATATGGTTTTGCATCGATCGAAACAAATGGTAGTCGGAAGGAGCCAGGTCTGGGCTATACGGGGCGTGAGCCAAAACTTCCCATCCGCTATTTTCCAAGTAGTTTTTGACCGATTTCTCAATGTGTGGCCGAGCATTGTCATGTAGGAAAATCAATGTCTCTTTTCTGGTCTCCCATTTCGTGCGTTTTTCTTTGATTGCTTGTTTCAAACGTATCAATTGTTGTCGGTAGAAAGGCCCATCGATGGTTTGACCACTTCTCAGCAGCTCATAATACACCACTCCCTCCTCATCCCACCAAATAGACAGCATTACCTTGTCGCCGTGAATTTCTTGTTTTGGCTGTGATGTTGCTGGTTGGCCGGGCTTAACATACGATGCTTTGCGCTTGGGGTTATCGTAATGAATCCATTTTTCGTCACCAGTGACAATTCGATACAGAAAACCTCTTTTTTGTGCCTTGCGAGCAGCATTTCGCAAGTCACTAAACGCCTTTCAGCTTGCGCTGGCGTCAATTCATGTGGTACCCAATTTGACAACTTGCGAATGAAACCAAGGGCCCTTAAATGATATCCAACAGTGCTTCGGTCAACATTCAATGCTCTGGCAAGCTCATCTTGAGTTTGACTCGAATCTTCATCGAGCAATGCCTCCAATTCCGCATCTTCAAACTTTTTTGGCTGGCCGGGACGTTCCTTGTCTTCCGTGCTAAAATCACCACTTTTGAACCGTGAAAACCACCGTTCACATGTACGTTCCGATGGAGCATGCTCACCATAGGCTTCCACCAACATTCGATGCGCTTCAGCCGCAGTTTTCTTCAAATGAAAGCAAAAAATTAATGCTTGCGGGAAATGTTGCTTTTTCGGTACAAAATTTGACATATTTAAGGCGCAAAAAAAAATGTTTATCCAAACTTCGATGAAATGATAGATGATGATTTTTGTAGTTTGACACTAGACCACTCATGTGAAAAAGAAAAAAGTATTGCCCGATACAACCATGCAAAGTTACGCCATCTTTTGAAAAATCGACACGATTAATTCCCAGACCCAATAGAATTGGGATCGTAGCGAATGCAACATCATGAACATTTCTTTTCTTCTTTTCCAACAAATCAGAGCTTCGATTTTCATTTAAATACTTACGATTAATTGACATTGGGCATCTTATTGATCAATTCATAATTCAAATCATCGCGTTGCCGATAAGCAAATATTTACACATTTTTCCACAGTAGACTGTTGCTGATTACTGCAAAAATATTTTGTTGACTCACATCAAGAGTCGCATGTTTACATTTCGAATGAAACGCACATCAGAAAATGACAGTTCAATCTTATGACTAGAGCCTCTAAAAATTGTTAAAATTGTTAAAACAACAATTCTAACAAGTTTTTGCCCATCACAGCAAAAAAAGAACAATTTATAGCCAGTCTTCAGTCTTTCCTAATGGATTTAACAATTTTCGGTGTTTTAAAGACTTTTTTTTCATTTTTTTACTGTCTCTAACTGTAAATATCAAACACAGCAAATGATTAATAGTAATTCATTGGAACGGTCTAGAATAAAAACAGCATAACAGTTTGTTATATTTCCTCGACCGTAAGTTGTTTTTATTCTAGACTAAACAAAATCACATTTGAGTTCTGAGTAAAGTAAATCATATTTTGTGCACGATTTTTTTGTTTCAAATTTACAGCACCAGCATAATATCTATAAAATGAAGAGATGTCAGAATAGTCAGTTTTTGTTTACAAAAGATATCGATTATATCATTTTTGTATACAAAACCACTTTTGCGTTTTGAGCATGACTCACAAAGTTGATTGCATTTTCGGCACATATTATTTCAATTGCAAACTAAGCAAAAATTGAAGTGAAAAAGAATTGGTTTTCATCGCCGTCACTTAATTGAACATTTGAATTCAAGTTCAGTTGCAATGTGAATTTCAGTCAGTTCAATCATAGAGAAAGCGACTTATTGTTCGCGCAAAACAATTTTCAGGCCTTTTTCTTAACAATTTTCAGCGTTTTCGTTTAACAATTTTTGGAGGCTCTACTTATGACCAGAATGAAAAAAATAGCCGATGGGGCAGAAAAACAATTGCTTCACAAATACAAACAAATCGAGTGTTTAAATGTATGGGCTCACATGCGACCGTAAACATTGGCCACAGCCAATGGTATCGCACTGGAATATTGTAAATAGCATACATCTAGTGACTTTAGACATTCGTTCTATACTCACACTCTTATTCAAATTCATAATGTTTTTGTCACATACATATTGCTTCGGAATAGATAGCATACGATTGTTGACGAGAATCTGTGTGTGTGTGTGTAGCGGCCAACACAATCAATTTTTCTGCTAAATGACAATCAATCCAACGGAGAACAAGTGTCACAACAAAAGTGAATCTCACTCAATAAATGAGTAAATGAATCAGTCTTGATCTCAAAACGTTTGAAGCAAGTTTGAAAATTGACATTGATCCGAGCAAATCTGAAATTGTGTGAGAAACAACAGATTTTTCTAACATATTTCGAACATTTCCAAAAAGGTAAGTGTTCGGTGTTGAATTTAAATTGGTTTTCATTCGAAAAATGGATGAAATTCCGCTTTGAAAATATGTGTAGGTACCGTATATTGCAGAGCGTAGAATAAGAACAATTGAGAACTGTCCAAAACGAATTTTTCAAGAAAACATTGATGTAACGGAGGTTTTTTGTCATCATTCGACTTTGATTTTTTATCTTTGGGCGGTGACATTGTTTTGTTGTTTTTTCACTTTGAATATTGATCAGAAAATGGAAATTACAGAAAACGTGGCTATAGAAATTGAATTTCACAACATAATGAAATCTTCAATGTCATGCTCCCTCATTTGTACGTACATTGAGAAATAGGCTCGAAAATTTTTGAATTTGATCGTTAGGAAAAGATGATTATAATTTTTTTTTTTTTTATAATGCGCCAAATTTTACAAAGGAATGTTTTTTGAACAGTCCTATTTAAATCGATTGTAATTGGTCACTGCGTGAGATTCCCACGAAAAATAAAACCATGCGTACGAAATATGTGTTGTTTGACGGCTGATTTGAAATGACTCATTTCTGTTTACAATTTCATTGTTGATAAAAAAAAGGCTAATGTCGCACTGACAGTCGGTCAATGATAGAAGAAATGCCAGATCTAGTACGCAAAATGTTGATATATAGTGGTGTTTCAATCTTTCATTTTTTAATCAAATCATTTTTGTGGTTTCAAAATACATTTGAACAGTGTTTGAAAATGATGATTTTCTTTTCATTTCTCATGAATTACAGATTTTGTGTCTCGCAAGGATGGTCGATCGAAATGAAAAATTAAATCGAAAACGGCAGCAGAATGAAGGCGATGAGCCGAAGGAAATGAGACAAGAGGCCAAACGACTGAAAGAAGAACCGATTGAAGAAGCTCCTGCAGCATCAACACCAACAACAAAAATCACCGATTTGAATAACGATTGCCTTGAGCACATCTTCAACCATTTGAAATTCGCCGACCTATTCAATGTTGCCGATTCAAACAAACACTTGGTCGCAGCTGTTGGTCAAGTTTTCTGGAGAAAATATCGAAAAATTCCGGTTGATCTTTACACTTGTGTCGCAAATGACGCATATTTTAAATTGACGCCAAATTGTATTTGGTTGTACGATCGAACGGCTGCGTTGAAATTCCTTCGCAACTTTGGTCATGTCATCACCGATTTGAGAATCACTTGTTTCCGCACCAATGACGCATATTTCACCGAGCTACATCGCTATGTGTTCGAATACTGCAGCGAAACATTGATTGACATCAGTTTTTCTTATATGAACGGATGTGTATTTTCATCCATCGAAAAGTCGTTTCCAAACATTCAAAGTGTCAACTTCAATTACGGAAGAATGAATGAAAATCTGTGCCAGATCAACAAGTGGTTTCCGAACGTGCGCCATTTGAATTTTGGAAGTTTCGTTAAATTAGACGATCGCAAGTGCATCCAAGCGCATTACCAGCATTTGCAAAGCTTAACGGTTGAGAGATTCAATTCGCAAAATCAGATCGGGTTCGAAGAGACAAATGTTATGGAAGCGTTGCGTTTAAATCCAAATTTACAACATTTGAAAGTGAAAAATTTCCCTACGAAATTCCTTCGAAAGATCAGTAAATATATGCAACGCGTGGAAAATCTCGAAATCACGCTTCGTTCTGGTGATATTAATCACCGGGGCCCATTAATTCGTTTAGAGAATGTGAAGAAGCTTTTGATTCACATGGAATCGGAACAACAATATGGCTTCATGAACCTCCCATTTACGTTTAGTCATGTTGAAGAATTGAGATATGTGACTGATAGTAGTTGGAAATCATTTTACCTCCAATGGAATGCATTCTTCAGCAAAAATCCTTTGCGGAAAGTGCATTTCAAAGCCTGCAAATTGGGCCGCAATGCACCACTAACCATTAAAAATGATATTCTGACTAAAGATTTGCCATTGGTGACGGAATTGATACTGGAAAATTGCCGGATTTCGATCAATGAAGCTACTGGTTTTCTGAACGAATGCCGATTCCTGACAAAATTTGGATTTAATTTTACCTCGCTCCATGAATACGAGATGTTGCTTAAACTCTTGGGAACTGTGACGGAGTGGCATGGAAACTTTGATGAAAGTAATCGTTATGTTGAATTGGAACGACTCATGATTAAACAAAAATAATATATTTTTTTTTATTTCTTCGATTCATTCCGATGTTTTTACTATTCATTAAATAGCATGTTGCAAAAGTGCCTCACTGTCATTTTGTATGAAAATTCTACAAAACGATTTGAGCGCTGTTCGCATGATTACATGACGGCTTTCATTTGAACTAATGTGAGGTACATTTCAAAAGTAAATTGCAACATGCTATTTCGAATTTTATACTAAAAAGGATTAAAATCTAATACCATTGAAATTACAATGTAAGTGTCGAAAAATATTCATTTTTATAGCAATAAAATAAATATTCAAATTCATTATGTAATAAAAATATGAATAAATACTCAATCTGTAAATGAAATATGATTATTTCGTCATCATTCTTCCATGTTTTGATTTCTATCAAATTTATTTCAAAGAGTAAATCACAATTTCTTCAGAGCAAGAGAAAAAAATGCTGCAAAAGTTAGTGTTTCGCCCAAAATTACCCTTGCCTCTTCATTTTGCAATTACTTTTGAGTGATTTGTTCATCGAATCATTTTCTAACGGTTGAGTCTTAAACAACAACAAAAAAGTTCTTGTTTGGTAGGTATCTTTACCAGAAAAGCGAAAAGGAATTTAATTTAATCAAGAAATAGCATTGAAATACAGAAAAATCTTATTTGATCACATCACCATTTCCGAGCGTTCCTTTAATCGGTTCACTCAATGACTTGTATGTTACAAACCAATCACGCCGGTTGCATATGTGGCTGGTCACCCCAGAATACTTGTACAAAGTATCACGTTTTTCCAGTGAATTAGCGATATCGCTGAAGAAAAAGAGTGCTTTGTCGCTTTCTTCCATCGTTTCCAACTTATCCAGAAATGAATATGCGATGCAATCCTTCTTAAAATGTTGCGATGAATCACATTCGAAGCAAATTGTATGTCCCGTCAACACATCGATCGCACAGTTGACTTTCAACATTCTTCTTACAAAAGCATTGTCCATCATCTTGATTTCTATAAAGTCCGGTTTTTATTTTTAATCATTTTCAATCAATTACGGTTCTTTACATACGGAAGAGGTTCATTTTATTTCTTTTTTGATTGAAGAAAATTATTGTTTGAATTTGATTTGGAATGAAAAAAAAAACTATTCGCTTTCATCTCAAAAGCCGAAATAAAATTTTGTGATCACATTGAAACAAAATCATGTTCATATCATTTCACGTGGAAAATACAAAAAAATGAATTGATTGAATCTTAGTCAATAAAAAATGCAAAGTAAAAGAAAAGATACATTTGAATCGAGCTATTAAAAAAGAATGTTGGTTGTTTCTTAAATTGTCTGTCTTTTTTGTGAAGTTTAATTGAATAGTCAGTCTATGGATGCATTTAATAAGTGGTAAATGAAAATTTCTTCTCAAAAATGACAAAATCAAATTTTAGTCGCTTCAATTAATTGGTTGGAATTCGACTAAACGCTCTAGTTCAACACGAAGCTTATTACGTCCTATCTTCTGCTTATTACTTGATCGCCACTGGGTTCCCAATTGGTCCACTAACAAATCGTGTTCTAATTTATGGCGAAGTGAAAATTGAAATTTAGTGAGCTTTTGGCATTCGTTCAAAAATGCAATCACTGTGTGATGAGAGAGTTCACACCTGTCTAGTATTAATTCCGTCACAAGTGGCAAAACTCTAGCGATTTCGAGTATGTCTCCTTGAATGCGCGACTTCAAATGCAATTTCTTCAATGGGTTCCTGCTGAAGAATTTGTTATCCGATTCGACTTCAATGGCATCATCTTGGCTTGTGGTATAAGTAAACTCTTCCAATTGTTGGAAGGAAAATGGCAGTTCCGAAAATTTATTTATCTCATTTACATCGATGTGAATTGCGTGTTTCTTCACATTATTGAGATGAATTGGAAAACCATTTTGATTGGTTCCTAAACGATGGAGCGTAACTTCAAAATGTTCCAAATGTTGCATATATTCGCTGATGCTGTGAAAAACTATTGGATCGAAATTTTTCACATTTAAATGCTTCAAATTCGGATTCAAACGCAATGCTGCAACAACGTTTGATTCTTCGAATCCGTTCTGATTATGAAAATCGTATTTTTCAATCGACAAACTTTTCAAATGTGGAAAATGCATTTCGATGCACTCTGGATCACCTATTTCGACCATTGATTCCAGCTTCAAATGACGCATCGCCGGAAACCATTTGTTGAATTGACACAGATTTCTATTCAATTTTGCGCCAACAAAACACACACTTTCAAGTTTCGGAAACGGCTTCTGAATCGAAGCAAATGCATTCTTTTCCATGTGAAAACAACTGATTTCATTCAATGTTGCGCTGCAATATTCAAGCATATAGCGATCCAACTCAGCAAAATACGTGCGATTGGCACCAGCGTAAGAAATTTTCAATTTGGATATGAATTGACCAAAAACGCGTAGTATCTTCAATGCAGATGTTCTATTCATGACTCGAATACAATTCGATGTCACTTCAAAGTGTTCATCATTTGCAATATCGATTCGAATATCCACAATTCCATATTTTTGCCGGAAAACACGACCAGCGGCTGACTTCAAATGCTTGTTTAAGTTGACGATGTTCCAAAGATCAATGAACTTCAAATGCTTGAAAATAACGACGAGGCAATCATTGTTTACATCGGTGATTTTGATTGTTGGTATCACCGCTTCGGCTAATTCCTCAGGAGCTTCTTCTCTCGGTCGTTTGGCTTCTTGGCTTGTTTCTCCTAGCAGCAGGTCTACGTCGTTGTGTTCGCTATTTTGACGTTTTCGATTCGATTGTTCACTTTGATCAGCCATTATTATGGATCGTATCGCAAATCTATAATTCAAAAGAAATTAAGAATAATTCTATTATCATTTGAAAATGCAGAAATCAGTAAGAAACAGTTTCTTATCATCCTCTAAATTTTTGAGAAAAAAAAACTTTGAAAACTTATGATTATTATTCAATATGTAAATGCTCAATTCACTGGATCAACTGTCACATATTTTTGTGATGACTATACTGCAACGTATTACACATAATGGAACAAAAATTTACTGAAAAATGGTCGATTTTGTCTATTTTATAGACATTTCACCGATGGCCGAATATTTTTACGCAAATGGTTTTTTATAAAATCAAAAAGAATGGACTTTTGCGCGTAAATTGAACACAAAAATACACCCACCAATTAAAATGTTATCAATTCCGTTATTTCTAATTCAATTTCTCCAGGCGAATGTTGATTTTCACCGTTTGAACAAATCTATCGACTAAAAACCAAGTAAAATTCTGTTTTCATGTGATGACATTGTCCAAGTGACACAATGGCTCAATTTAAAAGTGATTAACACCTTTGAGTTTGAAACGGTTTAGTTTAAAAGGCCTAAAAGAAGCAACAAAATGTCATGTGATTATAAATAACAGTCTATTGAGATGAGAATACAGAATGATTTCGAAATGTTCTTTGGTGTTGCCACTGTCTTACACTCACAATTGCTAATCACTTTTAAATTGAGCCATCATTCAATAAATGTCAAAAGAGGAGAATTTAAAACAAAACAACTGCATTTCATTCATTCACAAATACATGTAAATAGAGCTTTATTTCAATTTATTAAACCATATAATCTATAAAAGAAGCTGTTTGTTCATTTAGTTTCTTCAGAGCCGTAACCACGGTTCCTAACTGGCTACGGCCTTGGTTTTCTTGCATATTGATTCACTATGCAATGAATTTCTATTTTTTATGATTTTCCTGAATACAGAAAAAGACTAAATATTTATTTTTGCATGAAAAAAGTTTCGTTCATAGACTGTTGTCCACCCGTGTTGGATGTTTGTTTGTATTATGTGCATTTGCATTAAGGAAATGAATGGGAATAATGTAGAAAACATCATATTGTTGTTTATCTCTTAAATCAAATGGCGCTCCAACTTAACAGTGCTATTACGCTTGTGACGTTTATCGATGCTAGTTATCCACTCCGCTCCCAAGAGCTCTTTTAACACATCGTAATCCCTGTGCCAGTAAATTGCAAACTGAAATTGTGTCAACATTTGACATTCACTTACAAATTCGATCACTTCGTTGACCGACAATATGCAATTTCCCAATTTTAAATCCATCACAAATGGCAAAGACTTCGCGAGATCGACTTTTTTTCCTCGAATTTCTAGAGGTGTAAATGGATTCCGTGACGTCAAATGCACTTTCTTCAATGGGTTTTCGCTAAAGAAATTTTCATTTGACTTGATACTATTTGATCTTCCACCATCTGTTACAAATGTTAACTCTTCAATATTACTAAATGTAAAAGGTAGGTGTAAGGGAAATTCAGTGAACCGAAACCAATCCATGTCAACTGTGAGTGTCTTCACATTTTCAAGGTAAATTGGTGGATTTTTATTATGATAATTGTAAGAAATCCTCAATTCGAGATGTTCCACATATTTTAGATGCTCACTGCAGTTCTGAAAAAATTGTTTATTAAAATATTTAAGAGTTATACTTTGCAACTGTGGATTCAAGCGCAATACTTCCATAATATTCGACTCTTCGAATCCGTTCTGTGTATTGTATCGACGATTCTCAATCGAAAGCCATTTCAAATGTGGAAAATGTACTTCGATGCACTTGGGGTCCACTATTTCAACAGTTGAACCGAACATTAAACGACGCATCTTCGGAAACCACTTGTTAAATTGACACAGATTTTCATTCAATTGACAGTATCTGAAGCTAACAATTTCAACATTCGGAAATGGTTTTGAGATTGAAGGGAATACACCCTTAGTCATAGCCGCAAAACCGATCACAATCAATGTTTTGCTACAGTATTCAAACATATAGCGATGCAGTTCAACAAAATAAGTATGATTAGAGTCAAAAAATGAAATTTCCAACTTGGTTATAACATGACCAAAGTGGCGAAGTATTTTCAAAGTAGCTGTTCTATCGAACACCCAAACACAATTCTCTTTCACAAAAAAGCGTTCGTCAACGTGTGGTCGGCAATCGATAACAAGTTTTTCATATTTTCTCGAAAAAACATGTACAGCTTTAATGTTTGTTTGAATCAGCGATATGGAAGAGATCGATAAACTCGAAGTCTTTAAAAATATGCTCGAGACAGTCGTCATTCACATCGGTGAGATTTGTTGTTGGTGTTCTCTCATCAGGCACAACTTCTTCACGAACTTCTTCTTTTTCTTCTTTTATCCGTTTGGCGTCTTGGCTCATTTCTCCCAGCTCATCCCGTTCATTCTGTTTTTGTTTTTGAATCGAATGTTCATCTTGATCGGCCATTCTTACAACTCGTATCGCAAACCTATGATTCATCAGGAAAGAAAAACGAATCAAGCTACATTTTTATCTTAAAAAAAAAGAATTAACTTGTAAGTCAACTGGGTGGATGTTGCATACTCACCCTCTGGAAAATATTAAAAATATGCTTAGAAATCGTTGCTTTTCAATTTCACAAATTAACTCTGATTAAATGTCAAGTTTCACGATTTTATTTGAATTGAAACAATGGCTATGTAATCAAATCGATTTTCAGTCTGCTCACACTGCGATCTGTTCAAATACTAAATGTACGATTGATTTCAAGTGATGAAATTGTCTTTGACAGAAACGGAGTAATGAAAGCAAAGGATAATCATGTGATTATAAGTAGCAGCTCATTTAGTTGACAACACAGAACGATTTGGATATTTGGTGTTGCCACTGTTTCAAGTTTACCGTTACTTATCACCAGTGGCTACATTTAGCTGACACTGTCAGCCTGACTGATGGGTTTGATGAATGTTGTCACTGCTAATCACTTTTAAGCTCTTCACTGCTTATCACTTCAGTAATGGACTGAACATATTTTAAATGAAAATCAAAATAAAGGAACAAAAAAATTGCATTCCATTACTTCAATTCTAAATTTTTCAAACCAAAAAAAATCTGTTGATTGTTTTTTTTTTTGTTTTCACATCCAAAAAATGATTTTGTACGCATTCAAGTTGAATGAGTAGGGATAAAAAAAAATGAATGGAAAATTTGTGCAAAGGAATTGTGATTGATTTTGTGTACATGATGCTATGGCTGATCAGCGGTAGTCTAAATATTCAGCGCGCGAGATAATCGTAACTCAGATCCGTGATTTCGGTTGGCATTTGGCTCAAAAATTCATCTCTGTTCGCCTATTTTAAAAATCGATTGGCAAAACTATCTTTATTCAAATATATAATGATTATAGTTTATTTTAAAAACTGTCTTGAATTTCATTTTATGATTTCAAGTTATGTATTGTGATAAGGACACACTGGCACATCCAAAGAAATAAGATTCAAAATCGAAGCAAAAGACAAAACAAACAACAATATCAAGACCCGGAAAACCTTTAGGCGTCTAGTTTTTAATCACATTGATTAGCATTATCAAATCATCTCTTCATCGTCAACTAACGGAGTAACTACTGGCTATTTGCTGCCCATTTAAAATTGCGTTTGAACGTAAATCGTAGATTACATGTACAAAAATAAACAAAAAACTTGCCGTTGATACCGTAAATGAAAAGCCACATAGTAAAACACCACAAATCAGTTTGAATCGCTCAGTTGACCGTGCCAGCCGAGAACTTTTAGGCAATTTTTTTTTTATTTGCAGTGAATTTTCTAGAAAAAAAATTGAGTAAATCGGTGAAAAGTGAAAATTTCCATTCGAAATGGAACTATTGCGATCACTTCTATTCCTGAGTGTTTTGACCGTGGCATTGTGTTCACATGGTTCGAACAACCGGAGAAATCATTTTGTATCAACATCGACCGAGCGAAGTGTGGTTGATACTGATTCAGACGATGAAAGTTCCGAATTTGAGAACACAACAATGCCCGACGGTTTTTCGTTATCAAATCGAATTTTCGGAGGTTCTGAAGCAACCATTGATATGGTCCCGTGGCAAGTATCTTTACGCTTAAACTCGAAACATTACTGTGGCGGCGCAATCATTGCATCACAATGGATTCTCACTGCGGCCCATTGTACACCGTAAGGCATTTTATCGTTACAATTTGTCTATCTATTTTGTAACTTACAAAAGTGATTTTTTTTCCGTTCAATTTGAAAAGTGATTGAAATAAAAAAAAATTGAATCAATTTCAATTCAATTGACCTTTAAAGGTCAATGAGTTATTTTGAGTTCAGTTGATTTCAAAGTGAATCAACTTCAAATTAAACTCATTTTTAATTTTTGTTCCAATTGTTAATGATCCATGAAAAATTTATTCCAAACTCAGTTAATTTTACATTTTCATTTCACATCAAAAGTCGAAAAAGTTCAAGAGGTTATACAATCCGTGCTGGTTCATCGAATAAAGAGATCAACGGTTTAATATTTCGAATTCAACGATTTTATCGACATCACAATTACCGAACTGAAACGTTAGACTATGACTTTTCGCTAGTCAAACTCACGCAACCATTGCAATTTTCCGATGAGATTAAGGCGATTGCATTGCCGAATGCCAACACACGTATTCCGGATGGGACAATGTGCGTCGTTTCTGGATGGGGTACACAATATCAAGTTTTTTTTCCCCACAAAATTCGATCTTTTGTATTTGGCATCACCAATTTGTGTTATTTCTTGTTCTCAATCGTCTCTTCATTTTAACCCAGGTGCAACACAAAACAGAAATGAATCTGAAGATGATCTACGCATGATTGAAATCCCAATCACAAGTCAAAATCAATGCAAACGACGATATTCCAACACAATAACTAGTCGAATGATTTGTGCGGGCTTATTAGAAGGCGGCAAAGATGCGTGTTTCGGAGATTCAGGTAGGGTTTTGAAAGGCTTTTTGATTTTAATTTCATAATTAATGATTTCATCAACGTTAACTTTTTTGGACAGATGATATTGAGCTGTTTGACTTAAATTTCATCGCAATATTATTCTCTTTATCTCATGTAATCGATCAGGTGGCCCATTGGCGTGCGACATAAATGGTTGGTTTTAGTTAGTAGTACTTTTTAAGGTAGACAAAAAACATTACATGCTAATGAAAACGAATGATGCGGATGAAGTTTGGGAATTATTTTGAACAATTTTCAGTAAATCGAGAGGAAAAAAACGTTTGAAGTCTGCATTGAATTTTTTTTTCTAAAACTGGCAAAAATTGCTTCATCATAAATGGAGTCAACTCAAGCTGAAATCTATTCACGCTTTGTAATTATATTTTTCACAATTTCTGTTGCCCTAGAAACAGTTTTATCAAGATCAACGAATACTGGATATGATCGGTAGGTTGTTTTCACCAGTTTTTTTTTTTTAATTCTAGATGATGATGAATAATTTGCGCTTCAGACATTTTCAACGTGTTTCAATTTGATATGATCGGTATTGGGAATCTGTGAAAGACGATGGCTATATTCAAAACTGAAATATTTAAATTCATTCTGAAGCTGGCAAAAATTGCTTCATCATAAATGGAGTCAACTCAAGCTGAACTAAATTTAAGCTTTGTAAATATGATTTTCACAATTTCTTTTATCCTGGAGACAAGTTATTTCAGTTCATCAAAAATATTGCATACAATCGATCGCTCAGATTGTTACATCCCTTATTTATTCTACATTATGATGATGAAAAAAATACGCTCAAGAAATTGCCGACGTTTCTCTAATTTTTCATGATTGGCACTGGGAGTTCAGAAGAAAAATGAACATACATTTCTTTAACGTAAACCGAATCACCAGAAAACATAATTCATTTGACAAAAATATGGATGGAATATAGATATCACGTCTTTAAGTGCTGGTAGATGATACCAATTACGGAAAAGTCAGACACTTTGATATTTTGGAAGAATAGTTTACCTTATTTTGAGCTGACACGTTCTACGATTCACAACATAAGAATATTAGTTTGTTGTTTGTGTCTACAAGCCAACATAGTGAGTGGTTTTGGGTAGTTTTAGAAATTAAAACGCATTTATGTATACTCCTTTTAATGCAAAGACTCATTTTTACTGTTTTCTATGTTGAGTTTTTTCAAATTTTCTCTCAACGAAATTTTACTGCAGATATTTCAACACAGAGGAGGATATGCACAATTGCACATATGTTAACAACACACAGGTCCCGACGGGCTTATTCTACAGCACAATGAACAGCATAAGTCAGGACGTTCGAAAACGCACTAGAAAAATAAGAAAATATTTGTGACTATCTGGCCAAAAATGTGACTGTCAATGGTTGAGAGTAATCTGTCTTCGTGGATATTTTTGTTCTCTACTGATCTACTTTATATGCAAAATGAATGCGAAAATATTCAGAGATTGTTCTCCGAATTCAATTTTGTAGGGTTTATTACTAGAAATCACATAACGTTTCCTTAAATGCCAAATTCTTGTTTGAAAAAAAGCACAGCAAAACCATTTTCAAAACCCTACCAAAATTGTTTCATATATGAAAGAAAAAAATGTTTCCAAAGATTATGAAAAAAATTGTGTTATTTTTTTGGAGTGCTTTAGATTAAAAAAAAAATCTCCACAACGGATACTTAAAACATATGAAATGTATATCTGAAAATGAATAAACTTACAGGTTGGAGTGAATCATCGCAGCATATTTTGAATTCGATGCCGCACAGCCCACTACAGCAATTGGGAGCTGTTGCTTCTGTGCACTAGATAAATATTTGTACAGAGTATTTCAATAGATTGAATTCAACCAATCAGATTCTCTTAAAATGAATCAACTTACAGACTGACCAGTAGGTGCGCAGTTCTGGCATATACCGCCGTTGCACTGAAGCCCGGCGCAGCAAGGAGTAGTTGCGTTGCACTGAACATTTTTGAAAAATAAAATTCATAATTTTTTAGATTTTTATGATAAATTGCGTTCATTAAATCAGTTTCGCTAAAAATGAGTCAACTTACGGCCTTATTGAGTGGTCTGCAGCAAGTACCGCTGCACGAATCTTCGTCGTCACAACAAGGTGTATTTGCGTTACACTAGGAAAATTTTTATGAGATTTAATTTTAATTAAAAAAAATGAGTTTTTCTGAAAGTCAATCGACCTACAGACAGGCCGGTAAGTGCGCACTGAATGCATCTTTTTTCATTGTTGCACTTTAATGAAGGGCAGCAAAACTTCTCCTTGGCATCGTTGCACTAAAAGCATATTAATAGCTTATGAGTATTTTTAATAAACGACATTCAAGTTCCAAATCGATTGAACTTACTTGTTCGCCCGTCTCACGGCATTCATGTCCATCACTGCTGGACTACGAAAATATTTATGATTCATGATTAAATTGAAATAAATGACATTCACCAAAGGCTAATTCAGAATAAATCAACTTACGGAACTTGAACTGGAACTAGAGTGAGACATAATCACACTAAAGAGTGCTACAGAACAGAACATCACCAGAATAATCTTCATTTTCGTTGAACAACTTTTATCAGAATCGACACTATCAGGTTTAGAAGAAAAGAATCAAACAATGAAACACAAGAAATAAAAAAATCGAATCAATTTAAATATGTTCCCTGCCGTGATGATCGATCTTAAAATTACCGAAAAATGTTCAAAATGAACTCAATTCAGCGTTCAAAACAATAATGAATTGCTTACGTTTGATCAGACCCTGAATATACTAAATAAATTGCTGCACTGTACACATTTACTTATACATTCAACGCAGATATATGCATTGTAAATCGACTTATCCACTATACAGTATACACGTTGAAAACGTTTTACCATTCAAATTGTTGCATGTATTGCCCACTTTTCATTCCCTTTTTGTACGAATATTCTTCGATTCGGTTTTGTAACACAAACATTACTACCGCACGCAAAAATGCTAGGGGGATTTCTCACACAAAAAGTTTGAGCAAATGTGCAAAAATTTCTATTATTTCTTCTTTTTTTATTGAAATTGTATGAAAATGTACTGAAATGACGATTTTGCTTGAATAAAAGTGTTCTGGAAGTGGGTTTTGGTGGATGCTCAGGATGAACCAGATCCGGTTTGACATTGCCCTGGCTGAAGATCCACTTCCAGAACCGGGAGCAGTTCTGAACGATCCTTGAGATCCACCAAAACCCACTTCCAGAACAATTTCATTGAAGCATAATTCAAAAGTTCAGTGTAAATGTACATTTACTTACACGAATTGACAAAAATTGATCGAATCGGACCGAATTGAAGAAATTTTTCAAAATTTTTAAGAATTCATTCATTTTTTTCGTGAGAAATCCCCCTAGCAAAAATGTACGGCCGATAAGTCTGTCTACAAAGGATATATCTGCGTTGAATGTATAAGTAAATGTTGTGTGTGTGTGTGTGAGAGAGAGATTCATATGAGCGGGTGAGAGATATTTCTTAAAAATCCCAATTTCTTCATCACTTAAAATAAATTGACAGGTGCAAAACATATGTGCACCGAATGACTGATCATGTGCAATATTCATAGGTTATGATAAAATGGGTTTTTCACTGTGTAGCTAGGTGATAAATATACACAGTAAACACAATTGTTCTAGCTTTTAGAACCGCAATATGAAATTTGGCACTAAAATCCATTTAAGTACCATTTGTACTAGAAAAAGTTCAAAATGTACTAAATCACAAATCAAAGCTTCATGTATTTATTATAGAACTTTTGAACTTTTCCTAGAGCAAGTTAAGTGTCAAATCTTAACATTGCTAGAATCATTGTGTTTACTGTGTAGAATGCAAGCATCACTCACGTTTCCAGATTTGCATAAATTAACAATGATGTGTCACAGAATTTTTCTACGGACTTAATAGATTTGAATAGATTCAAAGTGATTAAATTTGTTTTCAAGAAGACATTGAAACATGACTGAATTCAATTATTGACAAAAGACTTTAAATGATGATCAGTGATCATGGCTATAATTAAGATTCGAATATTGAAAATCTTCTGTGGCTGGCAAAAATTGCTTCATCATAAATGGAGTCAATTCAAGCTTTACAAATATGATTTTCACAATTTTTTTCGCTCTTGAGACAGATTTTTCCAGTTCATCAAGAATATTGCATACGATCGATCGCTCACATGTTATTTTTACACCTCTTATTTATTTGCAATGTACCAGTAATTCCAATTGAACCTCTTCACTTTCTTCAATCATTTCCGGTAAACCGATGCGTCGTCTGATCGTCGGAACAATATAATCCAAAAAATACTCATTTTTCGTTTGAAAATCATTCAAAAACCCATTAACAATCGAAATGGCCAGTGAACGAATCGATTATCGATTCAAATTTATCAGCGTAACACTTCACCAAATGCAAGTACGTTTGATCGAGTAACTGCTTTAAATCTTCATCATTCGACCGTCTCGACACTGTTTGTAGTAGCTCTTTCAGCTTGGCAGCTTGCCGCTTTGATTTTTCACTATTTTGAATGTTTTTACACAGCATTTCAAACTCAAAATTTCTTTCACCTTCGTTGAAGAACTCATTTTTAAATATTTTTTTGACAAACATTCAGGTATACGAGTATTTTTAAACAGAATCTCTATTCAGCAAATTCATGAAAGCAATTGTTTGTGGTTGCTAGGTAATAATAGACAACTGCTTGTTTCTCTAGACTCAACTTTGTTTATTCTATCGACTTGACAACTGACTTTCAATAAAAGAAAGAAAGAAAAAAACGTTTGTTTACTACGTTTTGTTACATCAACGCATCAAATTGGCTCAAATATTTACAGTGTGTTTGTGCTGTTCTGTAAAAAGACAACAACAACAATAGATTTTGTTCGATTGAAAAGAGCAAAAACAAAACACACAAAACTAGAAATGCTTTTTGAGCAAAAATTGTTACCGAAAATTAATTATTTTGTTTGAATCAGCTGACTATACTACTATTAATAGTTACAAATGTCAATATTATTTGTTTATTTGATTAAAAAAAAAATATGTTTTCAGATCAACATTTGGTAGTTTATTGAATTTTTGCGTATACATTGTAATTTATTGACTTCCAGTTTATGTCATCTAATTACATTTTTAATAAATTGAATCGGTTTAAGCATCTTTCAATTGACAATTTATCAATTGTTTGTTGCAACGAATATTGTAATTAAAAGGTTTTTTTTTTGTATATTTTCTTAAACAGACTCTTTGTTTTTCTACAAAGTATGTGGAATTGAAAAAGTTAATTGAAAACGTGAAGTATAAAAGGTGCCTGCAATTTCTGGAGATTGTTCAGTACAATCAAATTTGCTAGAGAAAAGAATGAAAGTGTTTTTCATCGTAGTTTTGGTGTTGAGCTTGGTAAATAATGAATAAACTTTCTCTAAACTTTATTCATATAAAAATCTTCATCTGTTACTATGATACTAAATATATAGCTATTATTTTCAGATTGCTCTCGCTGCATCGGCCAAAACTGGTTCGGTTTGAATTTATTTTTACATTTTTAATATTTCTTCACTCAACTGTTCATTAATTTTACATTCATAGATGCCGGTACCGGGAATTTGTATGAAGGTGAAAAAAAAGGAGGATTCGGAAGGGGATTCGGAAGAGCACGCAGACCTAAATACATAGGTTCGACTGCGATGTATTTCTATTTTTTGAATTTTTATTCATAATATTTTTTTTTCTTACTCGAGTTTTGTTCACTTTATATCCATAGGCGGTGGTTCCAATGGCAAGTACTGCATAAATGCAAGTGAATTTTTATTCTTCTAAAACAGTTTATATCTTTAGGAGAACCTCCTAAGCTCAGGATAAGACAATCTGCCCCAGGCGGCAAGGTGACATGGCCAGGACAACCACCGAATCCATAAGAACGATATGACATCCAGATAGACTAGAATGAACTTGATTTTTCAATTGATTGTTCAACTGTTCCAATGCGGAACTGTCAAATTCAAAATAAAAATGCAATAAATGCTAAATTTTCTGTTTTTATTCTGTTTCGAAGAAATCGACGAGAATCTCTATTGAAAAAATATCAAGGAAAACGTAATCAATTTTGATCAATATGGTGTCTAAACGACTATTTAATTAAGTCGCGAAGCGAGACGAGGCAGCTAGTATGTAATAAAAGAATCTGATCTAAGAATGGACAAAGCCATATTTACACATTTTGCGAACCAGAAGAATCAAAAGAATGTCTGGTCCCTCGATTGTGTTTTAATTGGCGATATGCTTAAAAAGTTCATAGTAAAAGAACTTCTACCGAAAATGTCCGACGAAAAAGCAATTAAATTGACCGGTGTTTATGGAAATGAACTTGGTCTGAATTATACTAATAATAAAAAGGGACAGATTCTATATGATACAAAAACTTAAAAATAATGTTGGATTAGAATATGATGAAAGGACATTTCATGAGCATGAACAATTGTCTGTAAAAAGTATGGTGGGCATATAAAGAAATTGCGGAAATTTTGGCAAGGTGAGAACCACGTCCTTTTTGACTTACTGCTTTTCACGAAATGACGTAGTATTGCGCTAGGTATTCAATGCAATGCCCGTTGTATCATTTGATTATGATTAATGATTCGAACCATCATTTGCAAATACATGATCATGGTCCAGGAGAACAACAGAATTCCATTTCCGACAGAACGATTTGAATATTGGTTCTGACGATGCTGTGGTTAAACTGTGGTTTTTTTCCATTCAATTTTAAATATTTTAGGTGTTTTTATTTTGCATTCAACCTTAACTCGCTCGAAGCAGAGACACTTTGACGTAGAGACACTTTGACGTAGTGGGCGAGCTTAGTACATTGATTAAAATGGAAGCCAAGCACTCTGCAAAACAAACCAAAAGTCAAAAAACCATCTGAGAGAACTTAGACATAAGTCGGTTGAAGACAATCTATCCGTCAATCAGTGAATCAAGTGTCATTTGATGCATTGTTGTTTGTTTGTCATAGTTTTTGATACCTAATTGTAATTTGTATTGGAGAAGAAAAAAAATACCAGTGAGATGTTGTACATCGAATCACACGATGAAAAGCAATCGGGAGGATCGATGAAAAGTCGATGAATTTGCCGAACAGAAATTGCACAGAGAAAAAACCTCATAAATTCCAGAGCTCACATTTTGTATATTGCTATATCTGGAAATATTAGTAGCTGCTGTTTATAGTCAATAGCTGTGTATATTTTGAAATAGCAGCTACCGAACACTTTGTTCGGAATTATTTCGAACGTTCCATTGAATTTTTAAAAGTGGAAAGATAAAGTTCAATTTAAAAATGTATGTGGATCGATAATTTAACGTTATCGATCCACTTCCAAAAATCCAATGGAACGTTCAGAATAATTCCGAACAAAGTGTTCGGTAGCTGCTATTTCAAAATATACACAGCTATTGACTATAAACAGTAGCTACTAATAGTTCCAGATATAGCAATATACAAAATGAAAGCTCTGATAAATTCCAAGATGAGTGCCTACTTTTATACGGAATAAGATGAACTCTATCTGAATATGAGGTGTTGTCTTATAGACGTCAAACAGCAAATGTCAATGGATATTTACAATTACACTTGTTATAAATAAAAACCAAGGAGCTTTGATTGTGACAATTTTTTTTTATTATTATTTTTCATTTTTTTCCATCCAATGGCAGTTATTCCACATGAAAAACAGTATATGTCAAAAAAAATAAAAAATTTGAATTAAAATGGTTTTGGATTATTTTGATTGCGTGGTGTGGCATGGATGATAACTTTAATGGCACCACCGCGACCGTATCGTGCCGTGTCAAAAGCTTCATTGGTTTGAGTTATATCAAAATGATGTGTAATCAATTTTTTAACGTCAATTGTACCGCTTGAGACCATTTCCAATGCCAGTGGATATTCGTTACAATATCTGAACACACCTAAAATATCTACTTCGCGTGTTGATCCGGCAATTAGGGGAACTGTAACATCTGGTGGTCCATTACCAACAATAACAACACGTCCACCAGATCTGGTAGCTTTAATGCCAAGACGAGTTGATGCTTGTCGTCCATTGCACTCCATTGAAATCTCAGGTGCACAACCAAGTTTCTGATGTACTTGTTTCACTAGATCATCTTCGTCGTCGTCAGGTTTTACGAGCAATGTGTGTTTGGCGCCTAGTTCTTTGGCCAAATCCAATCGATCTTGAACAATATCGGTGATGATGATATTTTCAGCGCCCAAATATTTGGCTGCAATCAATGAACACAGTCCAATTGGACCAGCACCGAGAATCAGTACATTTTTTCCAAAACCGACTCCACCACGACGACAAGTGTGAATGCCAACGGACAATGGTTCCATCAAAGCACCCTCTTCCATCGTCACATGATCTGGTAATTTAAAACAAAAATCCGCCGCGTGCGCATAGAACCGAGTCAAATTACCATGATCTGGTGGTGTTGCACAGAAAACAACATCGGCACATAAATTGTAACGGCCTTGTTTGCAATCATCACAATAACGACATGGAACACCCGGTTCAATGGCAACACGATCACCAACTTTCAAATTTTTCACCGATTTACCCACTTTGTGTACAACACCAGATGATTCGTGGCCAATGATCATTGGATCTTTTACAATGAACGGACCAATTCGACCATTCACCAAATAATGCACGTCTGAACCACAAATTCCAATCGAATCCATGCAAATCAGCACTTGATCATCTTTTATGCTAGGGATTGGACGTTGTTCCTAGCGATTTTTGGAAGGAAAAAAGCAAAATTGATTAGAATTAGGAACAGAATAAATTTGACACTGGAAATAAAAAAACAAACTACTCAAATCAACACTCACCAAGCGAAGATCCTCCACTCCGTACAAAACCGCTGTTAAATTATCAACCGACATATCGCAATATTGATGCTTCTGTGTACACTTGAACTTTGAAATGTGTCAATGAAAACCACTTTCTCGACGCTTGCTTGATTCGCTTCCAACCAATTCGGCTTGATTATGTCGTTTTGCTCCGAAAGAGAGACAGGACCTGTTGCTAAAACGATGAAATATGAAGTAATCTTCGTTCAATCGTTGCACTCATTTATATACACCAATCAAAACAGGTCCTTTTGTGCTGTTGTTGAAGAAAAACGACCAAAACAACATTGATAACCAATCATTTTGGTTGATTCAATATTTGTTTGAATATTGAAGTATTTGTTGTTTATTTTTAGTTTGATTAACTATTTTGTAATAATCTATTGGAAAGAGAAGCATAATTTTGATGCGAAATCTAAAAACACAAACCGATTGATGTCAACGTTTGACAAAACATCGGCGAATGTGCTTTGAACTCTCATTTTTTTCTTTGGCAAAATTGATTATCAACAGTCGTGTCTCCCATACAGTGATTCTTTGTGTTATCACCATAAATGTTCACATTGAAATGCAATTATATGACTATGTGCAATTATATGAGTATATTTCACGGAGCTTGTTATTCAAATAACATTCGCAAAAATTTGAAACGTTAGTTTCACAAAAGGTTGAGTGATTAGAAGAAAAAAAATTACGTAAAGACAGAATCAGCATTTCATTCAAGAGATAAAGAAGTGTTTTTTTTTTATTTATTAAATAAACGAGGCTTGTTATCAGTGAATGGCGCAACTTCAAACTTTGATATGATGAAGTTTCAAGTTCAAGTAAAGAGTAAACATTGACGCAAGCGTTCCTCAAATTGTTGTCTCGATTTATTTTTTAAATCTTATGTCAAAAGGGGAAGAAATGCATTCATCGAACATCGAATTATAAATAAAAACCAAGGCGCTTTGATTGTAATAATTTTTCTGATTATTTTTATTCCTTTTCTTTCAATGATAATGACTGTAGTTATAAGACATGAACAAGACAGACTTTAAAATGGTTTTAGATTATTTTCATTGCGTGGTGCGGCATGGATGATAACTTTAATGGCACCACCGCGACCATATCGTGCTGTATCAAAGGCTTCACTTGTTTGCGTTATATCAAAATGGTGTGTAATCAATTTTTTGACATTAATTTTACCGCTCGCAACTAACGCCAGAGCAGCAGGATAATCATTACAGTATCTGAAGACGCCACGAATATCGATTTCACGCGTAAGTCCTGATATTAAAGGTATTTTAACGTCGGGTGGACCACAACCAACTATAACCACACAGCCACCGGATTTGGTAGCTAGAAGAGCTAAACGATTTGTTGCTTCGAATCCAGTGCAATCAATTGAAACATCTGGAGCGGTGCCAAGAGTATCATGCACTTGTTTCACTAAATCTGATTCTTTCGCGTCTTTGGAAACAACCAATGTGTGTGTTGCACCTAGCTCTTTGGCCAATTTCAATCGGTCGTCCAAAATATCAGTTATAATAATCTCACCGGCTCCCATGGATAATGCTGATATAAGTACTGATAAACCAATTGGACCGGCCCCCAGAATCAAAACCTTTGTTCCCAGGCCAATGTTAGCCCGTCGACAAGCGTGTATACCTACGGAAAGTGGTTCTAGCAGCGAACCTTCTTCCATAGTCACATGGTCAGGTAATTTAAAACAAAAATCAGCTGCATGGGCATAATAACGGCTGAGATTCCCATCCACGGGTGGAGTAGCGCAGAAAATCATATCGGGACATAGATTGTATTTGCCTTGCTTACAATTCTCACAATAACGACATGGAACACCCGGTTCAATGGCAACACGATCACCAACTTTCAAATGTTTCACCGATTTACCCACTTTGTGCACAACACCAGATGATTCGTGGCCAATGATCATTGGTTTTTGCAAAATGAAATCACCGATTCGACCGTGAACGAGGTAATGAACATCAGAACCACAAATTCCAATCGAATCCATGCGAATCAGCACTTGATCATCTTTTATAGTGGGGATTGGACGTTGTTCCTAGTGATTTTTGTGAGAAAAAAAAAGAAGAATAAAATTGATTTGAATTAGGAACGAACTATCAACACAATAATTTGACAGTGAGAATAAGGAATGAATTTCTCAAATCAACACTCACCAAGCGAAGATCTTCCACTCCGTACAAAACTGCTGTTAAATTATCGACCGACATATCGCAATATTGATGCTCCTGTTTACTCTTAAACTTCAAAATGTGTAAATGAAAACAAGTTTTTCGCCGCTTGCTTGATATGCCTCCGAAAAATTCAGTCTGATTATGTCGTTTGCTCCAACGGAGAGATAGATCTCGTTGCTAAAACGATGAAATATGAAGTAATCTTCGTTCAACCGTCACACCCGATTATATACATTAATCAAAATAAAGCCAAATAAACATTTTTATCGCTAAAAAAAAATTCCACACTTGATAATTTTGTGCTGATGATGAGGGAAAAACAACATTGATAACCGGGCTATTTGTGTACATATGGTAAGTGTTTATCATTTTTGTTTGAATATTCCAGCATTTATTGCTTTTTTCTTTATTTATTTTCCTGTTTTATAATGATCTACTGAAAAGATAAGCAAAGGTTTGATACGAAATCTCGTGCGTGAACGTAAACCGGTTGATATCAACGTTTGACAAAAGATCGGCAAAAGGGCTTTGAAATTTCTTTCTTTTTTTCATGAGTAAAACTGATTATCAACAGTCTCTGACAGAGACTCTCTGTGTTATCAC